AAGGAGGTGGCTCCCGAGGGAGGGGGGCCCCAGAGAAGGGGGTGGGTCGGGGCGCTAGAGGCCCCCATGAAGGGTATCCGCACCAGGGGCGGTGACGGGGGCAGTCAGTGGTCCTAGGAGCGGACCGAGGGGCCTGGTTGGACGCGCCCCAGAGGCCCAGCTCCGCGGGGAGGAGTTGAGCAGCTCGAACCGGGCCTGGGTTAGCGCCATTTTCCCTCCCGGGGAGAGCGCTCCGCCGGGCCCGGGACGCGCATGCGCCCAACGCGCCTCAGCGCGGGGACAAAGGAGCAAGACGGAGCGTCCCCGCCTCGCCCCCCCCCCCCCCCCCGCCCCGCCCCTCACCTTCCTGAGCCGCTCCATCAGCACGCTCTTGTTGCCGCCGCTGTCCAGGTTGCGGCGCTTGAGCTCGGCCCGCAGGTCGATCACCCGCAGCTCGCTCAGCCGCCGGGTCTCGGGCTCCGAGCCGGGGGGAGCCGCCCCGCCCAAGGGCGCAGACTCCCCCAGCCCGGCCGCTGACTGACTCTCCGCCATGACGCCGCCGCCGCTGCTGCTCCGGCTCTCTCGCGCGCGCGGGACTCGGCAGGGTAAAGCCGCGAGCGCCAGCACAAAATGGTGGCGAGGCCGAAACGCAGTGGGGGGGGAGGGCAGGCGCGGCGCGCAGGCGCAGTAAGGAGGGAGAAATGGGGTATGCGCAGGCGCACGAGTTTCAAGACAGAAGGGCGGCTCTCCATTGTAGCACAGACACGCCGTAACCGGGCATGCTGACTGCGCATGCGGGTTACTGCGGCCCTGAAGCGGCTCGGGCGCATGCGCTAGGTTCAGAGTCGTTTCAGGCCGTCGAGGCTATGGCGCTTGCGCGCAGCCCCGATGCCCTAGTGCGCCTGCGCCGCAGCCCCCGTGCGTGTCTCTGTCGGCTTCGTCACCACCATTTTGTGCTGGGATCGCGGCTCTTGCTTGCGCGCGTGAGAGCCGGAGCAGCAGCGGCGGCGTCATGGCGGAAAGTCAGTCAGCGGCCGGGCTGGGGGAGTCTGCGCCCTTGGGCGGGGCGGCTCCCCCCGGCTCGGAGCCCGAGACCCGGCGGCTGAGCGAGCTGCGGGTGATCGACCTGAGGGCCGAGCTCAAGCGCCGCAACCTGGACAGCGGCGGCAACAAGAGCGTGCTGATGGAGCGGCTCAGGAAGGTGAGGGGGGGGAGACAGTGGGGGGAGGGGCGCTGCGGCTGAGGCGCGGTTTCGCGGGCTTAGGGGAGGCGCTGGTGAGAAAATGGCGCCAAGTGGAGAGCGCGAGAGGCGTCACGTGACTCCACCGGGCCCGGCGCGAGCTGTTCCTGCAGCGCCCTGGAGCGTTCGCGTCAGGTCACGTGCTTCCCCCCCTCCCTCCTCCGCCCCAGGCCTTGTGGTCTCGAGCCCCGTCCCATGGCAGTGGGGGAGCAGGGAGCGCGACACGTGGCTGTTCTGTAGTGGGAGTGTTGTGGCACCACTGACCAAAGCCAGCCATGGCTGCCCTTCTCCACTTCCTTGAAACGGAGACCCTATCCTTGCTCTGATCATGGGGGGGCAATGGGGGGGGCTGGGTGAGAAAGGAGCTGGGGGTGCATTCTGGAAAGCCCTGGCACACGTTTTCCTCTTTCACCAGTGCCTGGGGATTTTTGGTATTTCACTTTCATTTGGTCCCACTTGTATTGCATGCAAGGCTCTAGTGACAGCATTTTTCTCTCTGGTGTGTTTAATGCCCAAGACCAACAGTGCTCTGTACATAAATAGTGGCTTTATATCTTTTTCCAATAGGCTATTGAGGATGAAGGGGGAAATCCTGATGAAATTCCAATGGTGTCAGAGATAACGATCAAGAAAACACCAAAGAGAAGCAGCAAAGGTATAAGGGAGTTGAGAGAGGATTTTTTTCTTGGATCTTGCACCTACAAAACAGAATCTAGCTTCCCTTCCTTCTTTTCTTTCCCTGCTTTCCCTCTGAAAAGTATTTATGTCTTAATTTTGGCAGTGTGCGTGAATTTATAGAGCTGAATTTGTGATTAATAGTATTTGGTTGAGTCAGATATAGCACAAACAGGAGCACTGTAAGATAAAATGTACGGTTTAGGCCAGTGCAGATAATATTTCCATCAACGTCTTGTGTTACTGACCCTCTTCCATACTTATGTGAGTGAGTTTCAGTCAATCGGGTATGATACCAAGTCTATCATTAGGGAATTGCACATTTTGTTCAATATTAATCACAGGGCCATGCATAACTGGGAATACTCCCGAACAAAGTTTGTTGGATCGCTAATCAAAATTTCCCGAAAGACCAACTTAGAAAGGATTGACTTCTACTGCCAAGGCAGTGAAAATTTATCATGATATGTCTTTGCAGGAGGCTAGTTTGGCATTGAGCCATTTTGAGGCCGACGTTGCTAGCCCTGTCATGGACAAATGGGGAACAGGGTGAGACAACCAAATTAATTTACGCTTATGACCAAATTCAGAATTTGAGACAAAGCCTCTAGAGGTGAAAGGTTAGGGTGTTAACTTATTTCAGCATGTAACCAAAATGTTAAAATTAAAATGCATTACTCATTTGGTGTGATAAATTTAATAAATATATATGAGCTCCCCCAGGTTAGTCTGCAGCAGGAAGTTAATATATGCTTTTCAAATATTTTTCATGTTCCTGTTGATATATGCAGATAGCAACCAGCTACATGACAAATCTAGAATAGCTGTTTGTGTGATGGAAGGTGAAATCTCAAACGGAGTTTCTAGAGATTTTACAACAAATAGCACATTGAAGACTCAAACAGAAACTTTTAAATATAAAATAAATTGATTCCAGATGAAACTTAATTCAGTATATACTGTTCTGTTCTCCCTGTTCTGCAAGGCAGAAGGGAAAGTCATTTAATAGGTGTGCTACATGTGAAGACATAAATTTAGTACTTCGAGTTAAAGTTTCATACCCCAGGTTTAGAGTTCCTTATAGTTTTAAAACCTCTAGAGTTTATAACAGTGATGCATTTGCACTGCTGTAGTTAAAGGGCTGTCAGGGTTACCTTTAATTTCCTATTTACCTGGAAAGCTTGCTTCAGATGTCAGATTTCAGAGTGGTAGCTGTGTTAGTTTGTATCAGCAAAAAGAACGAGGAGTACTTGTGGCACCTTAGAGACAAATTTATTTGGGCATAAGCTTTAGATGGTATTTATAATTACAGAATATCAGGTTTCACTTGAACAAAAACAAGCCATTAGATTTCTAATGGTCAGGAGTCATTTTATGCTGTGTATGAAATACATTTCTCTACTTCTGAAATGAGGGATGGGTGTTACTGCCACGTAATTAATAAACTAAAGATATAATCTGTTTTAGTACTAGAATTGTGTACAACAGGGATTTAAAAAAACTTCTAACTTCCATTTAAATGCCTAATATAAAATTGTTAAAAGCTTTGAAGTGCGTTAGACATGGAGGAGTTGGTGGTGATGCACAAATGCTCACCTAACAATACTATGCCTGGCTCAGACCAATGCTGTTAGTCACTCTTAACGTTGGGTGGATTAAATTCACTTGTAAATTATTTTGGCTAATTTTTCCCTTCCCAGAAAATACCTAAAACGTGATTGCAACATTTCAGCATGTTAATAGAATGAAAATGTTCAAGCTGAGATGTTTCTCATTGTAGAAGGCCTATTTCTAAAACCTCTCTCCCTTTCTTGTTCTACTGTGCTTGTATTCTTTGAGGAAAATATACTTGTAAATGTGTGAGAAATTGTCTGTTTTCACGTGTTCCCTGTTGATCTGTGTTAGACCTGAAGTGTGTTGTTTCAGTAATGAGTGTTACTTCTAATGTTATGGATCAAGCTGCTGAATGAATTCCTGATGTAGTAAGACTTCTGAAAAGAGAAAATTAATGGTCTTTGAGATACTTAAGCACTGCAGTCATGCATAGTCAGCCTAAGCATACTTTTAGCTTAGTCTTGTACAACTTATGTTTTGTTGAACATTCAGAACTTCGATTGTGGCTTACAAAAAGAAATGTGATGTTCAGAGTTATAGGACTGTTGAAATTAAGGCAAAGTATGTTACTCTTCTGTAAGAAACTGGATTTAATACCTATTCTAGGAAGAAAGATCTGAAAAATAGCAATGTATGAATTCATCTTTCTAATAATCATAATGTTACTAGGGCGTAGACTAGAAGAAGAGGGAGTTGAAGATAATGGACTGGAGGAGGATTCTGGAGATGGGCAGGTATGTGAAACCACATTTGAGGTGAAAAAGAATAGTGCTGCATTCAAGTCACAATGACTATTATATATACTTTTTTTCTTTTTACAGGAGGATATTGAAGCAAGTTTGGATAACTTGCAG